ACATCTCTCTTTTAGACGGTTCTCTCCCTCCTCTGTTTCAGTGCAGTATACATTATTGAACCCATCTTACTCAGTCTCTCCCCAACCCCTATTTCACTGATTCTGTGTTCCATCTCTTCAACTCTGTTCATATGTCCCTCCAGCATATTTACAGCATCTGAAACATTGGTCCTCATATTTTGGATTGTGATTTCTTATTTTTCCAGAGCTTCTCGTGCCATGTATGTTTTATCTGTATTGTTTTGGATTGTTTTTTTAAGTTCCTCTTAGTTTTTGCTTGCAGTGTCCTTTAAGTCTTCAAGTTTGTCTTTCACCCACTGAAAATAGTCAATCATTGTTCTTTTAAATTCTGTGTCAGAAAGTTGCATCAGACTTTTTTGCTTCAGGAAATCTATTGATAGTGTGTCATTTGGGGGAAATGACATATTGCTTTGGGCTTGTGTAGGGTGTGAGGTAGCCTGCTTCCTATGTGACATTGCTGTGGTAGTGTTTTTCACACCTGGGGTGATAGCAGGCTCTTGGTCTGATGTCATTGCTCTAGAAGAGGGTGGAACAACTACCTTGCCTGAGTTTCTCTCTGAACTTTGGACTCAAAGGAGGACTTGCTTCAGTTCAGGAGAGATAAGACCTGTGAATTAGCAGCCTCCTCTTTCAGACAATTGCTGCAGCTAGGCCATTCCATGGTGCTCTGGGATAAAGGCAGCTCATGTTTTGGGAGAGAAGAGGAAATGAAATGGGTTCACCTGTGACACTGATGTCTCTGGCACAGTTCAAAGCGGTGGCAGTGGCTCATCCTTCAGGCATTGGGGCTTGGGCGTCCAGGCATTGGGGCTGGGGTATCCAGGTGTTGGGGCTGGGGCATCCAGGCATTGGGGCTGAGGCATCCAGGTGTTATGGCTTGGGGCATCCAGGCTGTGGAGCCAAGTCATCCACATGGTGGGGTCATGTCTTCCAGGCGGCAGGGGCGGGACTTCCAGGTAGCAGGGACAGGAATCCCAAACAGCAGGGCCAGGACTTCCAGGCTACAAGTGGAACATCCAGGCAGCTGGACTGGGACTTACAGGTGAAGGCCGATGCCAGGCTTCCAGATGGTGAATGGGAACATCCAGGCATCTGGGTAAGGTCCTTTAGATGGCAGGCTCAAGGGGTCCAGGCAGCAGGGCCAGGGGGCCTCCAGTCAAGGTGGGGTTGGGGGGAGGGGGGCAGCACCAGGCAGTGGTGCTACAGGCAAGAGACCATCCAGGACACACTAAGAAATTTTTAAGGTAAGTACCTAGTTAATTGACTGGATACTTGGCGTAGAAGCGAAGTGCCTAGAATCAACATGCCTACAAGCCTGTCCCCATCATTTTATAAATTAAGGAACATTTTAGTTACTCATGGAGATGTATTTTGAATTAAAATATAAGGGGGTAACTTTAATCGCTTCCACTTATTTAATGCATGTTGTTGTTTTTGTTGTGTGTCATAGAGTTGGAACCAACTCATAGCTGACCCACAGGTGGGTTTTCAGAAGCAGTTAATTGCAGGAGAGGAGATTGCCCATCCTTCTTGAACCATGTGCCTTCAGTATTGCAGTGCAGCTTCTTGCCATTAGGCCACCAGACCTCCCTATGTTGTAACAAGGTGCCATCAAGTCAAGTATGAACCATAATGACCCTATAAACAACAGATCTGAACCCTGTCCTATCTTGTACCATCCTCATGTACGTTATAATTGTTTTGGTGGTTTTTTCATACTGTGCCACACTCATAGAAACTTTGCTATGGGTTGGCCACAATCCTTTATGTAGTTATTGGTAACCAATAACACTATTCAAACAGTGTTACTATGTTTACTCCATGTTATTATTTCTGCTTATCAATGACAAAGGCAAAAGAGTCTTCCAAGTTAGATATTTTTTTAACATTTCCCAAATAGATTTAAACTATGAATAAAATTAAATGCTTTTTTTCCCTTTTTTTGTTTTTGTATGTGTATGTGTCTGTCTGTAGGGTCAATAAACTGGCAGATCCCCAGACTCAGGATATCCAGTCCCCTTCATTAAATGGTGAGAGGTTAAGCAAAATCGAGAAAAAGACAATGGATGTACCCAGAAATTATGAATCTACTCCAGCCACCTGGAATAAATTTGCTGCCATTCAGTTTAATACTGGGGTGAGCATATTCACTAAGAATGTAAACTTGATATGCTTGGTTTAGGTGTAAGAGCAATACTTTCTAAAATAAAGTTTGGAGGTTAATGATAGAGGACCCAGTTAGGTATGGAACAGTCTGATGTAGAAGAAATAAGAGTCTAGATAAAAAACAAATCATAACTATAACTCTCAATATTGTTATTTCTCAGGATCACTTGGAAAAGTTCTCATTCTAATCAATTTTTTTGTTCTATTCTATGACATCACTTAATAGTTAGGACTACTGTATTCAGAAGATAGTGATTTGTCAGATTTAGGGCTATTTCTTACTCAAAACCTCAGTATGTATGCTGACACACTTGAAATATCAGCCAAAGGGTCAGACCCTTCCTATATAGAAGACGTTCATCAAGTCTGAAGAGTTTACTTTCTTATGAAGATCTTGAAAACAATTGTTGTTAGGTGTCATTGAGCACGCTCCACCTCCTAACCATCATGTGTAGAGCAGAGTGAAACCAGGTCCAACCCTGTGCCAGCTTCACAACTCTGCTGTGCACTGTATCAGTCCCTCATATTGAAAGATTTCCTCTCTTTCATTGTTTTGCCAAACATGAGTTCTTTCTCAAGGGACGGGGCCCTTGGAAAAACACTCCCAGAGTAGGTGAAACCTGAGTCTTGCCATCCTAGCTTCTAAAGAGCATCCTGACAACAATTCTTTCAAGACAGATTTGTCATTATTTTTCATTAACAAAACAATTCAAAGGTGTAACCTCCTCTTAAGTCTTTTTTGTTCATTATTCCACTGTCACATACATGAGAGGTGATTGAAAATACCATGGCTTGAGTCAAGTACATCTTGAACTTTAAAGTGATATGCATGTCATTTTGTACTTTAAAAGGACTTTGGTGACAGATTTTCCCATTTCAATACATGGTTTCTTGCCTGCTGCTTCCAATGTGGATCCAAGCAAAATGAAATCCTTAAAACATCCATGTTTTCTCCATTTATCATGATGGTTGCTTATTGGTCCAGTTGAAAAGATATTTTTCTTCTTTGTGTTGAGGAGATGTAATTGTCACAAACATGGATCTCTTCCAGTGGGTTGGCCAGGCAGCTGTCTTCCAGGTTTATTGGTATTGTGTTGTGTGCTATCGACTTTTCTGTGACTCATAGCAATCCTATGCACAACAGATCTGAACCCTGCCCTTTCCTGAATTAGTCTCAATGACCCTAACACACTTGCTTCTATTACCCCAGTTACTGTGTCAAAACATCATCTCATCCAGGGTGTTCCTCTCCTGTGCTGTCCCTCCATACTTCCAATGAAACACAAAGGTTGGTAGTCTCTTCTCAGAGATAAAGAAAGTATAAGTAAGACACACACACACACAAGAGCTCTGGCGGAATTGTGCTGTCAACCCAAACACATGTGGTTTGAATCACCAGCTGTTATGTAGGGGATGGGCAATCTCCTCCTGGGTCATTTACTGCCTCTGAAAACCTGCAGGAAGCTCAGGGATATGTGTCTGTGTGTGTGTTTGTGTGTCTCTGTGCATGTGTGTGTCCCTAAATACATGCTATCTACAAGAAAGGGGAAAAGTGTCAGTTAGAAGACTTAAGGTATACCTGATCCAAGCTATGGTTTTTTCAGTTGCTTCATTTGCATCTGAAAGATGAACAATGAACAAGGATGACAGAAGAAAAACCAATACCTTCGAATTGTGGTGTTGAAGAAGAGTATTGAATATGCAATGGACTGCCGAAAGAACAAAAAGTCCGTATTGGAGAAAATGCAACTAGAGCTATCCTTAGAGGCATAGTGAAACTTTGTCTTCCATAGTATGAGCATGTTGTCAGGAGAGATCAGTCCTTGGAAAACACATCATGCTAGGAAAGTTTGAAGTCTTTATCAAAGTTTGAAGTCTTTATCAAAGACTTCAGCAAAGTGAAGAGACAATCTGTATTATTGGGGAATATAATTTGGGGTACTATATATCTAAAACAACAAACAGCCAAGTCAAAAGAATGGGCAAAACACTTGAATAGATATTTTATCAAAGATAAAATTACAAATGGCCCATAAATACATGAATAGATAGTCAATGTCATTAATCATTTGAGAAATGCATATCAAAGTTACATAGAGATGTCATCTCATGCCAAATTTTTTAAATTTTTTTTTCTTCTTAACTTAATGTGTGCCGTCGAATTGGATCCAACTGACAGAGGAGGAGATTGCTGCTGCTTCTCCTAGAGCATCTGGTGGATTCGAACTACATGCCTTCGAGATTGTAGCACAGCTTCTTGCCACTAGGCCACCAGAGTTCCCTTCATGCCTACTTTTTAGGTCCAAAGTCAGACCTTGTCCTTTGGTCTAATCTCTTGCACAAATAAAACATTTATCTAATATTTTTGTTTACATTTGTCGTGGGAGTTCATTAATATTTTATGTGTATATCTTTTCTATAAAATTTTGATGCATTTGTCTTAATAAGTTTTAATATGAATCTCCAACTTGATTCACTCACTCTTTTAATACTATATTTCTCTGCTCATTTTAGTTCCCACTTTATTGTCAGCAGTTTCGTTCCTTGCTCATAAAGAGGGCACTATTTAGTTGGCGCAACTGGAAGTTAATATTGCTACAAATATCGGTAACTGTGTTTGTCACAAACTATCTCTTAAAAGCTGTGGACTTAAGAGAAAAGAATATGTATCCCAGAGAAATGAATTTGGGTCAATATGGTCGAACCATTGTGCCTTACTCAATTTCAGGGAATTCTTACCTGGCTCTGAATATCATAAAGAACCTTGAGATTTTTCTAAAATCTAAGAATCAAGAACTTCGGGAAGTGAAAGGTAAGATCTGTGTTTGAGAAAAGTAAGATCTTGTGTGGAGAACAATTTGGTTTTTTTTGTTTTTGTTTGTTTGTTTGTTTGTTTGTTTGTTTGTTTTTTGTTTTTTTCAATTTGTATTATTAACAGACAATGGAATAAACCTACAGTATTTAACTTCTTTTTGTATTAGTCACCTGTATCATCCAAAAAACAAACAGAAACAAACGTGTTGTGGTCAAGTTCATTTCAACTCATAGCAACCGTACAGGCCAGAGTAGATCTGCCTTGTGCTGTTTTCAGGGCTGTGATCCTTACAGAAGCACACTACCAGAGGCATGACCTTTGTTTTGGTTAGCCCAGTTCCCTAAAGACTACACCACCAAATCTCCAAATGACTAAAATAATATTATTAAAATATCAAACCATGGCAATTATCACTTACCAAATGTAAAAAAAAATCAATGAAAACATAGAAATGATAATAGCATCGCAAATGGAAAGTCTAGAACCAGAAAGTTATTAAGTTATTATAATAACTAGAGGTTATGTCAAGCTGAAAGAACTGAAAAACAAATTCAAGCCTCGAGTTGTAGTACTGAGAGAGGAAAATCTTGAATAATCCAGGCAGCATCATAAGAAGATGGCAAGATTTGATTGGAGAATTTTAATGTTTTTCATTTATCATTGTAAAACCAAGGACGATTTTATAACTTTTTTGTACGTAGCTTTTACATGTAGGGCAATCTGTCTTTAAGTAGGGGTAAATTACTCTAAAAGAAATGAATCCTAGATAGTTTTCCCTTCAAGTCAAGCGTCTTGTTGTTTAAATAAACTTCTTGTTTAAAATGGGGGGAAAAAAAAGAAGATGGCAAGAATACACAGAATTGCTATACTAAAAAAGAATTGGCCAACACTGAAATAGTTCATATGACCAAGTATGACTAAAAGCCAATGGTAGTAAAGGAAGAAGGTCAAGCTGCACGGAGGGATTGGTAAAAAATACAACCTGAGGAATTAATAGGATATCGTTGACATGTTTCAAGTATTAGATGCAGCCATGGATGTGCTTACCAGTCTACGCCAGGAAATTTGGAAGACAGCTACCTGGTTGACTGACTGGAAGAGATCCATATTTGTTCTCATTCCCAAGAAAAGTGATCCAACAGAATGTGGAAATTATCAAACAATACCATTACTATCACATGCAAATAAAAGAATGCTGAAGGTCATTTTTAAATGGTTAAAATTGTGCAAAAAACAAGGAACTGCCAGAAGTATAAGCTGGGTTTAGAAAAGGCCGTGGCACTAGGGATATCAATGCTGATATCAGATGGATCCTGGCTGAAAGTAAAGAATGTTGTTGTTATGTGCCATCGAGCTGCTTGAGACTCATAGTGACCCTATGTACAACAGCCCTGAAACCTGCTCTATGCTGTGCCAACTTTACTGTCTCTGACACACCTATCCTCATTACCCCAGTCACTGTATCAGTCCATCTCATCAATGGTCACTCTTTCTCCATCCCCCCACCCTTCCAAGCATGATGTCCCTCTCCGAAAACCGGTCTCTTCTTGCAACATGTTCAAAGTATGTCAGACAAAGCCTCAGAATCCTTGCATCTAAGGAGCTGCCTGGCTTCACCCTCTATTGGACAAATCTGTTTGTTCTTCTGGCAATCCATGTATTCAGTCTCTCCTCCATCGTTGCTCAATGGTATCAATTCTCTCTCTATCATCCCTCGTCATTGTCCACCTCTCTGATGCATTGCAAGCAATTGTGAAGACTATGGCCTCGATCAGGCACACTTTAGTATCCAGACTGATGTCATTGCTCTTCAGTACTCTGAAGAGGTCCCTGACAGCTGACTTTCTCAATGCAATTCATCTTTTGATTTCCTGGCTGTGGTACCAAGAGTGTTGACTGTAAAGCCAAGCAAACTAAAGGTGTTAACAATCTCAATCTCTTCACCATCCATCCTGATGCTGCCAATTGGTCCTGTGGTGAGAATCTTTGTCTTCTTGATGTTGAGCTTCAATCCATATTGAAGACTGCAGTTCTTGATCTTCTTCAACAAGCGCTTCAGGTCCTCCTCAGTTTCAGCAAACAGGGTTGTGTCCATCCACATGATGCAGGTTGTTGATGAATCTTTCTCAAATCCTGATGCTACATTCCTCCTCATATGGCCTAGCCTCCCAGAAGATCTGTTCCACATAGAGATTGAAAAGGTATGGAGACAGAATATATCACTGGTATACACCCTTTCTCATTTTGAAACATGCATTGTCTCCCTGCTCTGTTCTGACGACTGTCTCCTGGCCCAAGTATAGGTTTCACGTAAATACAATCAAGTCTTCTGGGATTCCCATTCTTCTCAGAGTCAGTCACAGTTTGTTGTGATCCACACAGTCAAACGCCTTTGCATAGTCAATGAAACATTGATAGACATTCTCTGGTACTCTCTGCTTTCAGCCAAGATCCATCTAACATTCGCTATAATATCCCTAGTGCCACAGCCTCTTTTAAACGCAGCCTGCACATCTGGCAGTTCTCTGTTGATGTGCTTGCTCCAGTCATTTTTTAATAATTTTCAGCAGTATCTTGCTTGCATGTGATATTAAGGATATTGCTCAATAATTTTTGCAATATGTCAGGTCACCTTTTTTTGGAATGGGAACAAACGCAGATCTCTTCCAGTCTGTTGGCCAGGTGGCTGTCCTCCAGATTTCTTGGCACAACTTAGTGAGTCCATCAGTGGCAGCATGTATTTATTGAAATATGTCAATTTGTATGCCATCAATTCTTGGAGCCTTGTTTTTTGCCAGTTCTTTCAGAGCAGCTTGAACCTCTTCCTTCATTCATCACCACAGGCTCTTGCTCATACACTGTTTCATGAAATTCTTCTGCGTCAGTCAATTCCTTCTGGTACAGTAACTCTGTATACTTTTTCCATCTTATTTTAATACTTATTGGATTATTTAATATTCTGCCCAAAGCATCCTTACGTATTGCAACTCGAGGCTTGAATTTGTTTTTTCAATTCCTTCAGCTTAAGAAATGCTGAGTGAATTCAGCCCTTTTGATTTTCTTAGTCCAGCTCTTTGCACATTTCATTGTCATACTTTGCTTTGTCTTCTCAAGCTGCCCTTTGAAATCATCTGTTCAGCTCCTTCATTTCTTGATTTCTTCCCTTTGCTTTGGCTCCTCTGTGCTCTAGTGCAATATTCAGAGTCTCATCTGACATCCATCCTGGTCTTTTCTTCTTCCTCTGTCTTTGTAATGATCTTTTGCATTCTTCATGGATGATATTCTTGTTATCCTCCCATAACTCATTTGATCTTCGTTCATTGGTGTTCAAGGCCTCAAACCTGTTCCTGAGACGGTTTGAAATTCGAATGGGATAGACTTAAGGTCAAATTTTGGTTCCTGTGGATTTGATTTCATTTTCTTCAACTTCAGCTTGAACTTGCCTATAAGTAGTTGGTGGTCTGTTCCACAAACAGCACCTGGTCTAGTTTTCACAGCTGATATTGAGCTTCTCCAGCATTTTTTCCACAGAATCAGTCTGATTCCTGTGTGTACCATCAGATAAAATCTATGTGTATAGCCTGCGTGTGTTTCTTATAAAAGGTATTTGCAATGAATAAATCATTGAATGTGCAGAAGTCTATCATTTTATCTCCAGCTTCATTTCTGTCACCAAGTCCATGTTTTCCAACTACTGATCCTTCTTCCCTGTTCCTGACTTTTGCATTCCAGTCATCCATTATTACTGCATCTTGATTGCATGCTTGATCAATTTCTGGCTGAAAAAGTTGGTAGAAATCATCTGTTTCCTTCTCTTTGGCTGTAGTTGTCAGTGCATATATTTGAATGATAGTGTATTCATTGGACTTGCTTGTATGTGTATGGGTATTAACCTGTCACTCACCACATTGTATTTCAAGATGGATCTGTGCTTCATTGACTATGCACAGTCATTTAATTATGTGAATCATAAGAAATCATGGCTAACATTGAAAAGAATCCCAGAATGCTTAATTGTGCTCATGTGAAATTTATGTCTAGACCAAAGAGGCTATTGTGCGAACAGAGCAAGGGAACGCTACAGGTTTAAAATTAAGAAAAGTATGCATCAGGTTTGTATCCTTTCTCCATACCTATTCAATCTGTATGCTGAGCAAATTAAAAAGCTGGATTCTATAAAGATGATGTGGCATCAAGGTCAGAGGACGATTCATCAATAACCTGTGGTAGGCAAATGACACAACCTTGCTTGCTGAAAGTAAAGAAGACTTGATGCACTTGCTGTAGAAGATCAAAGACTACAGCCTTCAATATGGGTTGTATCTCAACAATCAAGAAAACAAAAATTCTCTCCATTGGTCCAATAGGCAACATCATGATAGATGGAAAAAAGATGGAAACTGTCAACAACTTCATCTTACTTGGATCTACAATCAATACCCTTCATGACAACAATCATGAAGGATAGCAGGAGACATTTGAACTGGGTAAGTCTATAGTCAGGGGCCTTTCCAAATTATTGAGGAGCAATGATGCCCATTTAGAGACTAAGGTGTGTCTGACTCAGACCATGGTTTTTCAGTCACTTGTTATACACCTGAGAGCTAGACAATGGATAAGGATGCCAGAAGAAAAATTGATGCGTTTGAACTATGGTGTTGGAGAAGAGTACTGTCTATCCCATGGATTATGAAATGAATAAACAGATAAGTCTTGGAAAAGGTGCAACCAGAGCTATCCTTGGAGGCACGGGTAGCACAGCTTCAACTTGCATACTTTGGGCATGTTACTATGAGACGGTATTCCCTAGAGTATGACAGCATGCTTGGAAATGTGGAGGAACGGCAAAGGAGAGGAATACCCTTAACCGAGTGAACTGACACAGTGACTTCAGCAGCAGGCTCAAGTGTGGCACAGGATAGGACAAGGTTCAGCTCTGTTGTTCATAGAATTGCCAGAGTCGTGCTTGACTCGACAGCACCTAACATCAACAACAGGAGAGGAGAGATAGGGGCAGAAAAATATTTAGAGAAATAATGGCTGAAAAATTCTCAAAGTTGGTGAAACATTTATTTACATATCCAAAAGTTTGATGAACTCCAAGCAAGAAAAACACAGATAGCCACACCTAAACATGCTATAATGAAACAAAAGTCAAAGATAAAATCTTAAAAGCAGCAAGAGAAAAATGACTGAAGATAGTCCAAGTGTACTCAATAAGATGAACAACTAGCTTTCTATCAGAAATCATGAATACCTGAGACATTAAGATACTAATGCATACGAAGTACTGAAAGAAAAGTACTGTCACCCAAGAGTCTTGAATCAAGGAAATATTTTCTTCATAAATGAAGAAATTAAAACTGCTAACTAAAGGGTAACCATTTTGCCCATAGAATCTTTCAGTATTCCAACACAAGTCTTGGATTTGTGAGAGCTGGATAATAAATCCCCAAGACTGAAGAATAATTGATGCTTTTGAATTTTGATGTTTCAGAGAGTATTGAATATACACCATGGTCTATCAAAAGGGCACATCAATCTGTTTTGGAAGATATCTCACATACTTTGGGGATGTATATTGCCAGGAGGGGCCTGTCCTTGGGAAAAAAAAAGAAATCGTGCTTAGTTAAGAGTCAACAAAAGAAAGAAAGATCTTTAATGAGGTAGATTTACACCATGACTGCAAATAAGGGCTTGAGCGTGACAGAAATTGTGAGGATGGTGCAGGATTGGGCGAAGTTTCAATCGTTGCTCACGAGGTCACTGTGACTCAGACAAACCTAACAACCACCACCAAATGTTGGAAGTTTAATCTCACTAACCACTCCATTTCCAGAAGTTGGAAAGGGAGGAAGATGTGACAGTCTAAGAATTAGAGCCTTAGAAGCCACATAGTTCTGCTCTACCTTGTATGGTTGCTGTGAGACATATCAGCCAACAGCACTGAATCTGAGAAATACCAAGAGAAGCAACCCAATGCCATGAGTTGCAAGATCGATATCATTAAGGTGTTCATTCTCCCTATACTAATCTATCCATATTCCAGTAAACATTTTGCAGAAATCAACACTAATCCTAAAAACCCTAGTATGGAAAAGCACATTACCTAAAATAGTGACACTGTTTTGTAAAAGAACAGGTCGTGTTTGTTTTGATAGGAAACGAGCAAGAAATTGTTATTGACTTAACCATTGTCTGTTGTTGTTGCTAAACTACATGATGAGAGTCTTGAAGCAATTGATGATAGGGTAGCATTCTCGAAGAATAAGAGGAAATTTGAAATAACCATTGGGAGAAGTTGGAAAGGGAACAAAGAAACAGTTTCTTCCTTTTCAATACACATATCAAGTGATACATGTTGACTCACTAACCCAATTTCTTTCTTTATTCTAGGTAATGTTACAAGTTACATATTGCAAAATAAAGAGTGCCAGAACTTCTGCATCATTGCACTTTCCATTAAGGTTGAGCAAGACAAAACCATTTTGACTATTTTATTCAATAATGAGGCATATCATTCACCTGCAACTTCCCTGACGGTGTTAGACAACATTCTTTTCATGTCACTTTCTGGCCCCAAAGCTTCCATTACAATCACCAACAAGCCTCTACCCCTCTCTCTTTATGGTACTGATTTGACGTATGTATGATTTTCCTCTTGCTCCAATTGAAATTTATTACATTCCCTTGATATCTGACCATAGACATTTGAAACGAACTACTGATACTAGCTTTTTTTTTCTTTACTACTTTTATTCAATCTTCTGTAGGCCTACAAATGGAATCCAGGTAGCATTTTGCATGTCTTTTGGCATGGCTGTTATAATCAGTAGCTTTTGTCTGCAGACAGTGACAGAGAAAATTACCAAGGCAAAGTACATCCAATTTGTGAGTGGAGTCTCCATCCTAACTTACTGGCTCTCTGCTTTGTTGTGGGATCTTATCTGCTTCTCCATTCCCTGCTGCTTACTGCTGGTGAGTGGTACCAGAAGTTCCCGGCAAGCTCCTTTTCCTCACAGCCTCACATGAAATTCCTGTTTGACTATCTGTATCTTAAAACTTGTCAAGAATGTGAAACTACTTTGGCAGATTATACAGATAATATATTATTAAAAGATCAGTATGGAAATGTTCTTCCTCATATTTCTTCAACAAGAGAGAAAAAAGTTTTTCTTGTCTTTTTTCATATGCTTACTCAATATGCCCTGGCCCGAAAGTAGCAAATAATTGTTAAGACCATGGCCTGAATCAGGCGCACCTTAGGCTCTAATCTGACATTATTGCTCTTTAGTACTCTGGAGAGGCCCCGGCAGCAGACTTTTCCAGTGCAGTTCATCTTTTGATTTCCTCACTGCTGGTATTGAGTATTGACTGTGGAACCAAGCAAACTGAAATTATTCACCATCTCAATCTCTTTTCCATCTATCATGATGCTGCCAATCAGCCCAGTGATGAGAATCTTTTGTTTTCTTGATGTTGAGCTTCAATCTGTATTGAAGACTGCAACACAGAAGGATCAGCATTCCACCCCTCGTGATTTACTCCCTTTGAAAACCCACTAGAGGGCCATCTATGAGTCAGTTTTGACTCGACAGTACTCACCAACAACATGATATAGTTTGATTAAGGAATTAGTAGTTAATTACACAACCTTGCTCACTGAAACTGAGGAGAATTTGATGCATCTGCTGCAGAAAGTCAGCTGATCGAAGTTCTATCATCTACATAACACACGATGTTGATGAGTCTTTCTCCAATCCTGATGCCACATTCTTCTTCGTAAAGGCTAGCATCCCAAATAATCTGTATACATTTTCTTAAAACACTGCTTCTTGACTACAAACTACTTTCAAGAATCTCTTCAGGGTCTAATAGAGGCTATTCTTAGTTTAACCATGACATCCATGTATTAGTTTTCCTATTAAATAATATACATTGCTCCAAAAATAGAAGTTCTGCTCTCTCTGAATATACTGTGATTTCCATCTAGTAATAATAGATATTTTAGAAAATAATTTTTGTTAATAGTTCTAGCAGTTCTCTTCTTCCTAATTTAGCACATTCTAAATATATGCTTTTCCACCTGACTCAGACATTCTTCTGGTACTCCTTGCTTTCAGCCAAGATCCATCTAACATTAGCTACAATATCCTTAGTACCACAGCCTGCACTTCTGGTATTTCTCTGTTGATGTGCTGTCCCAGTCATTTTGGGATAATCTTCAGCAAAATCTTGCTTGAATGAGATATTAATGATACTTTTTGATAATTTCCACACTCTGTGGGATCACCTTTCTTTGGAATGGGAACAAATATAAATCTCTTCCAGTCAGTTGGCCAAGTGGTTGTTCTCCAACTTTGTAAGCACATCTAGGGCAGCATCTGTTGGTTGAAATATGTCCATTGGTATACCACCAATGCCTGGGGCCTGATTCTTAGCCAATTCTTTCAAAGCAGTCTGGACTTGTTCCTTTATCACCATAGGCTCTTGCTCATATGTTGTTTCATTGATCATAACAAACTGTGGCTAACTCTGAGAAGAATGAGAATCCCAGAACACTAGATCGTGCTGATGCAAAACCTATACTTGGACCAGGAGGCAGTCATCAGAACAGAGCAAGGAAACACTGCATGGTTCAAAATTGGGAAGGGTGTACACCAGGGCTGTATCCTGTCTCCATACCTTTTCAATCTTTATGCAGAACAGGTTATCTAGGAGAGTGGGCTCTTTGAGGAGAAATATGGCATCAGGATTGGAGGAAGAATCATCAACAATCTGCGTTATGCAGAAGACACAATGCTGCTTGCTGAAACTGAGGAGGACCTAAAGCACTTGCTGTGGAAGGTCAGAAACTGCAGTTTTCAGTATGGATTGAGACTCAATATCAAGAAAACAAAGATTCTCACCACTGGGCCAATTGGCAGCATCATAATGGATGGTGAAGAGATTGAGATTGTTTACAGTTTTGGTTTTCTTGGATCCACAGTCAACACTCTTGACACCAGGAGCCAGGAAATTAAAAGACATACTGCAATGGGAAAGCCTGTAGCTGGAGACCTCTCTAAAGTGCTGAAGTGCAAAGATGTCAGTCTGGAAACTAAGGTGTGCCTTATACATGCCATGGTCTTTGCAACCACTTGCTATGCATCAGAAAGCTGGACAATGACTAGAGATGATAGAGGGAGAATTGATGCCTTTGAGCTGTGGTATTGGAGAAAGTATTAAATATACTATGGACTGCTAGGAGAACAAACAGGTTCATCCTGGAGAGGGTGAAGCAGGGTTGCTCGTTGGAGGCAAGGATTCTGAAGCTTCATCTGACATACTTTGGACACGTTGCAAGGAGGGACCAGTCCTTGGAGAGGAATGTCATTCTTGGGAGAGTGGAGGGACAGCGCAGGAGAGGAAGACCCTTGATGAGATGGATTGATTCGGTGACTGGGGTAATAATGGAGGTAAGTGTGTTGGAGATGGTGAGATTGGCACAGGATAGAGCAGAGTTCAGGGCTGTTGTACATAGGGTCACTATGAGTCACAGGCAACTCGAAGGCACATAACAACAACAACAACAACAACAACAACCTGGCTCAGAAAGGCCCTTTGTAGTAGAAATGATTAACATACTCAGCTCCCAACAGAAAGTGAAAGGATGTAGCTTCAAGTTCACACAGAAGTGCCTCACAACAAAGACTTAACGATCTACTTCTGAAAAGTCAGCCATTGAAAACCTTAGGGACTGCCGTTCTGTTCTGACATATGTGAGGTTGTCAAGAGTCAGAATAAATAGCAACTCAATTATCAGTTGCCTGATTATCAAGTGAATTTTTTAATTGAAATAGAAGACGTCTGTATTGCAGAGATGGAGGTGAAGTTAGTAGACAGATTTCACTCAGAAATCAAGAGTCTTATAGCAAGGAATGTTGCAAAGAAGGTAATATATGCCAGCAAAGAGAGGAATAACTCATTCACGAAATAGAATACTTTCTAAAAGTTGAACTTAGAAACTCTGTTTGACCAAATTAATTCACTCCTAGGAAAATACCCCAAGGAAATTCAAACTGAAACACATATGGAGAGTTGTACACCAATGTCCATAGCACTGTTCTTCACCATCTTAAGAAAATGGAAACAGCCCAAATGTTCAACCACTACTGAATGGATCGAGAAATTGTGCTACATTTGCACAATGGAATACTATGCAGCACTCAGGAGCAACGATTTAGAAAAATACGACATAATGTGGAAGAGACTGGAGAGCATTATGCTGAGTGAACTAACTCAGTCTCATAAGGACAAATACTGCTTAAGACTATTATTGTAAGAATGGAAAGATAAATAGAATATGTATGTGAACCCAAGGTGGGGAGCAGAAGGATAAGGAACCACAGGAACAAAACCACAGGGTTGCACAGTTTGGTGTGTGGAAGGAGAGTGGGGAGGAAATGGGAAGGATCTGGGTGAAAAGATAGCATAATGATGGGCAAGATCCAATGGGATTAATTTTATAAAACATAATGCATGGGAATAATTGTACAAAACACAATATGGATGAGGAATAGTGTAAAACAAGTGTATACTAACTTTATAAGTAAACCAATTTTTTTTCATTTTCCAAAAAAATTTATTGAAATTCCATTTTTATTAGTTTATTGAAAAAAAAAACAACAAAGATCTTAACTCAGTGATCACATATATAAAGGCAAAGTAAGCAAACCAATTTTTTAAAGTGGAAAAAAATAGAACACTTTCTAGGTAATTTTGTTCCAGGGGAGTATCATCAGAGTTGAGCTTAATCATTACATAGACTTTTATTATGGAGATTTTTTTTTTTAGAAACTGTTCTAAATAGTAAGAAGTCATGGTGGCATAGTATATTGTGTATGTGTTGGACTTTGAATCTATGAGCCACAGGAGAAAGACAGGCTGTATCCTTCTGTTAAGTGGGTCAGCCTCAGAAACCAGATTGGGGTGGGAGAGAGCAGAAAGGAACTCATGAATCAGAGTAAGTGGGAAGGCTGGGGTCTGGTTTCCATAGAGTGAAAAAGGAATTGTAATCATTCTGTTCACTAGAAAGCCTTCTTCAGAGGGAAGGCTAATTCACTTCAGGTCCATGCCTAAGGCTTTTAAAACAGTGTATAAAATCATTTCTGTGAAAAGCTCTAGGCGCTAACAAAGGCAACACTTATTTCCTAACTGTTCTGGCTTGGTTTTATTTCTTGCACAGAGTGCTTCACCTTGCTTCTAATGCTACCTTCTGTGTCTCAGGGAGTATTCAAATACCGTGGAATTGATGCATTTGTCGTGGATTACCACTTCCTGGACACAATGATGATATTTATGCTATATGGCTGGTGTGTTGTCCCTCTCATGTATCTTGGGAGCCTCCTGTTCTCTAGTAGCACTGTTGCCTACATCAAGCTCACCGTATTTAACTATTTGTCATCTGTTACCAGTATCATCATTCACCACATTGTACAATACTATGGTAAGAGGGTTACGCATGCTTGTTCCTTTACCAGGGCGACACAATAAGTAAATGAGGGTTAAACAGCCTAAGGTTAAGAATATTACTTGTTAAGCAGTTCATTTTCTGGAACCCTTCAAAACTTTTTTTTTCCAAAATCTGTGTCTTTATAAAGTAGATGTTGTTGTTGCTATGTGCCACTGGGATTCATAGCGACCCTATGTACAACAGCCCTAAACCCTGCTCTATCCTGTGCCAATCTCACTGTCTTTGTCACTTCTACCCCCATTACTGCAGTCATTGAATAAATCCATCTCATTGAAGGTCTTCCTCTCCTGCACTGTCCCTCCACCCTCCCAGGCATGAATGACTGTGCCCTCCTTGCAATATGTCCAAAGTATGTCACATGAAGCTTCAGAATCCTTGCCTCCAAGGAGCTGCCAGGTCTCAGTCTCTCCAGGACAAACCTGGAGTTTGTTCTCCTAACAGTCCATGGTATATTCAGTACTCTTCTCCAGCACCACAACTCAAAGGCATCGATTCTCCTTCTATCATCTCTACTCATTATACAGAGAGAGAAATAGATTGAAAGAGGGAAATGGGAAAAGGGTGAGGGAGAAGGAGAAAGAGAGCAGCTAAACTATCAAGCTAAACCATCCTCGTTAAAGAGAAAAAGACTAAGAGATTAGTAAGCATAGTGTTTTCTCTCCTTTGAAAGCTTCCCTCCTGCAAGGAGAGGTCCTGGAATTTTAACGTCTTAGCAGTACTTTAGAGAAAGGCAAGAAAGTAGAGAATGCAAAAGTCCCAGGCTGTGACTCCCTGCTAACTTAATGAGGTACATAATCTTTCCAAGGGAAACAACAAAATGTACAGATAATAATCATTAAACCAGTCTGCCTGCCTACCTTTCAGGCCTGGTTTCAGCTGAATGAATTCCTAGAGTTTGAAATGTAAAGAAATCTGATAGAGCCAAACATTGTAACAAACTTAGATTTTGCATTCTTTTCTATCTATCCCCAAGACATAATGTTGTACTGTGTCAAGAAAGCTTGAGCCCCTGGGCTAAATGGCAAACTGAGGGTTGTATGTAGATAATCACTTGCTCAATTAAAACTATTGTCACTCTCCTTTATACAACCCATAGATTTTATTGGTCACTTGTTCTCAGAATTTCTCATGTTACCTATTCTTTCTCAAATGTGGTTCCTTTCTAAGATTTTCCTCTGTTAGACCTTTGAACTTTTCTACCCCAGTGTTTACTTATTCCCTCTTCCCCTCAGTAGAGTTGATGATCATTTCTCATAGGAGATTCAGTGCATCCTCCCTCCTTGCAGACACTTTTATTGTATTTTACCTTGAATTCAGATCCATTTGTTGTTATGTGCCAATAAGTCACCTGCGAATCATAGTGACCTACGTACAACAGCTCTGAACCCTGTCCTATCCTGAGCCAATCTCATCATCTCCAGCAGACCTGATCCCGCATCTTCAGTCACTCTATCAATCCATCTCATCCTGGGCCTTCCTGCTGCACTACATGATGTCCTTCTCCAAGGAATGGTCCCCCCTGGCCACATGCCCAAAGTATGTGAGATGTATCTTCAGAATCCTTGCCTCTAGGGAGCAGCTCAGTTTCACTCTCTCTAGGACTGACCTGTTTGTTCTCCTGGCAGTCCACAGTATAGTCAACACTCTTCTCCAGCATCACAACTCAAAGGCATCAATTCTTCTATCATCCTTAGTCATTGTCCAGCTCTCTGATGTATAGCAAGGAACTGTGAAGACCATAGCCTGGGCCGGGCACAACATAGTCTCCAAACTGACATTACTTTTCAGTTCTCTAAAAAGAGCTCTTTGACAGCAGACTTTCTCAATGCAATTTGTCTTTGATTTCCTGACTGCTGGTGCCAAGAATGTTTGTGGAGCCAAGCAAGGTGAAGTCATTAACAATCTCAATCTCTTCTCTGTTTGTCATGGTGTTGCCAGTTGGCCTAGTGGTGAGAACCTTTGTTTTCTTCACGTTGAGTTTCAGTCCATATAGAATACTACAGTCCTTGATCTTCTGCAGCAAGTACTTCAGGTCTTCCTCAGATTCAGCAAGCAGGATTGTGTCATCTGCATAATATAGGTTGTTGATGAGTCTTCCTCCCATCCAAATGTCACATTCCTCCTCATACTGTTCAGCCTCCCAAATGATCTGTTCTGCATATAGTTTGAAAAGGTATGGAGACAGCATGCATCCCTGACATACCCCTTTCCTGATCCTGAACCATTCATTCACTTCTGCTTCCTGGTCCAAGTATTGTTGTTGTTATGTGCCATCGAGTCACTTGCAACTCATAGCGACCCTATGTACAACAGCCCTAAACCCTGCTCTATCCCTTGGCAATCTCTTGTCTCTGGCACACCTACCCCATTCCCCAGTGACAAAACCAATCTATCTCATTGAGGTTCTTCCTCTCCTGCGCTGTCCCTCCACCCTCCCAAGCCTGACATCCTTCTCCAAGGACTGGTCTCTCCTTGCAACATGTCCAAAGTATGTCAGACAAAGCTTCAGAATCCTTGCCTCCAAAGAGCGGCCTGGCTTCACCCTCTCCAGGATGAACTTGTTTGTTCTTCTAACAGTCCATGATATATTCAATACTCTTCTTCAACACCAAAGCTCAAAGGCCTCAACTCTCCTTCTATCACTCCTAGTCATTGTCCAGCTCTCTGAAGCATAGCAAGTAATGACAAAGACAGTGGCCTGTATCAGGAGCTCCTTTGTCTCCAGACTGACATCATTGCTCCTCAGTACCTTGGAGAGGTCTCTGGAAGCAGACTTTCCCAATGCAATTAATCTTTTAATTTCCTGGCTGTGGAACTAAGCAAACTGAAGCTGTCACCAATCTCAATCTCTTCACCATCCATCATGATGCTGCCAGTCAGCCCTTTGGTGGGTTTCACAAAAGCACAATCAAGTGTTCTGAGATTCTCATTCTTCTCAAGGTTAGCCACAGTTTGTTGTGATCCACACAGTCAAATGCCTTTGCATAGTCAATGAAATGTAGATAGACATTCCTCTCGTATTCTCTGCTTTTGGCCAAGATGCTTATTTCCCATGTCTTCATAAAGTCTTCTCTGTTCCTGGAATGGACTTTAAAGTCAGAACCTACTGGACAGCAGTGAGTTGAAGTTTACAAGTACATTTAAGACAAGAAATGTGAGAGATGTTTGATACTGGTTTCCTGATTGTATCAGACTACAGGAAGACAGCGACCAAAAGTCTTCTCTCAAACTCTGACTGACAAATCTGTGCTACTAGCTATCACAGGTGAACATATTTAGTGGCTCACGTACTAGTGTTTTCTCAAGGATCATCTGCTGGATTGATAGTTCTGCTTCCGAATGGTAGCATCTTCTCAGGAGGTTTGCTGCTTTGGGGAGGGTCATTGCTTTCTTTTCTTTTTTTTTTTTTTTTAGAAAATGTATACTTTATTTGGTATTAACAGGTTTGAACATATTCTTTCTTTTAATTCCATTCATTGATTGTTACACAGTCCTTGCTTTCTTCCATCTGAAACTTACACTCTATCTTCTTTTTCATCACAGCACATGACCTGTCTATCTCCACCAAAACCATCATATTTAATTCACTAATGGTCCTTCCTAGTTACAACTTTGCAATGTGCATCAGCAAGTTCTTTGATAACTACCAGGTGAAAAAGCAGTGTTTCAAGAAATTCCGATTTGTCTACATGGATTGCAAAAAAGTATGTGAGTATCTGGGAGTAAGGACTCCCCACTTCTCTAGCAACAACCTGCTCCTTTACAGATAGATGTCCATATTTAAGTTTAGATCTTACAA